AACAATCTTTTTATTGTTCCTAAATCCCTGTCCTAATCCTTTGATTTTGTTCCTAATTATCAATTTTTTTGTTCCTAAAAAATCTTGCCCCCCCCCCTCACTTAAATCCTTTGTCCGCCCCTGCTTATATTTTCTTGTTATTAAACTACTGAATGGAATGATATCGACCGATATATAACAAGCTATATTTCCAACCCGGATCATGGGGACGATCTATCCTGGTTATATATCGATACAGGATTTCAGTGCTTCAATGCCACATTTGGACTCAAGCCTAGCTATACAACAAGCTATATATCGAACCCAGATCATGGGGACGATCCAATCTGCTTATCAAAACAGGATTTCAGTCTAGCTATTTACTAAAAATAAGGCTTTTCGCAGTGCAGACCCTTCCCCCCCCCCCCCCCACCATCCAGTCTTTGCTAGGTGCAGGCATTTCCCCCCCCCCTACCATCCCTTTTCCGGCCCCTGAGTTGGATTTTTGAGTTATCAAAACTTATCTTTTATCCTAAACAGTAACGCAGGGGGAACTAGTTCCTATTTAAAAGGGAGATTTTATCTTGGGTTAAAGGGACTGTGAGCGTAACTTCAAGTAACCCTCCATGCAAAGATGGAAATGTCCAATTTACAATGGTATGCTTGAAATCTTTATCTGTTCAATAATGTGGAAGATATTGTCGTTTTTCTAGGTTTAAAATTGTTTACTTTTAATAGAGCAATGTCCGAATTTAATGAATTTAAGCCGCATCTAAAATCCCCCAAAAACCGGTTTCAATTGAGCACCAACTTAGATCTTGAAAAATTTAACACAATTTTAAGTGGAACCAACCATATTTGAGCCGGGGCTTAGATTTACGCCGCAGCTCAAATTCTTTAAATTCGGTCTCAAGTCATTTTATTAGAGAAGTATTCGGTTTTTAAGATTATCAGCATAATTAATTCATACTTGATCAGACAAAGCTATAATGGGTACCGTTGTGAATCAGGCATTGCCATTTAAATATGGAGGGTCACTTGAAATTATGCTTACATTCCCTTTTAAGGCTTAAGCTAAGACAATCTTTTAAACAGGTTTCCCCCTTCCCCTTGTCTACCTTGTTACGTAGCTATATATTCTGTAACAAGATATAATATAAAAAGTATTTATTTATATCTCTTTTTAACTATTTATCTATCAAACAAAAACAGAAGAAATCAATCAATATATCCATCATTCTATCTCTATTTCTACGTATGTATCTATATATCTATCTTTGTATATATCCATCTATTTCTCTGTTTATCTGTCCGTTCATCTATTTATCTATCTGACTATCCAATTATCATCTTATTGATATATATATCCGTCTGTTTATCTATCTATTAGTGTATTTATTTATATATCTATCTGTCTGTCTGTTTATCTATCTAATTATCTGGCTATTTATGTATGTATCTATCTATCCCACTATCCATCTATTTTTATATGTTGCTGTCCTGTTGAATTTAGGCAGTAAGTCAAGCAGTGCCAATGAAAACCAGGCAGTAGGTTGTAAACCAGTCCAGGATGTGGTTCCTTCTTGTAACAGGTTTATTACACTTCACACAGTTCAAACTATATCAGAAGACATTATAGACGACTGTTTGGAACATATAATTTATCTGTTTCCTTATATTCACGATTCTCTTCTTGTTTCTTTCTTTTTCGGATCTTTTAATAAACCATTTAAATGACAATTTGCGAGACAGAACACTTAATTAAACCTTAGGATTATCATTTTTTAAGATTTTTAGGTCGTTTTTACCATCTCATTCTTTTAGGGTAACCCTGTACATTTAACATTTTCCCATATACTACGTCAGAAACTTGGTCTTAAATCAAACCCTTTAAAAATTTTAAGACTCATTTTAAATCTTTTTTTTAGCAATATTAGCTTAAAGTAATTGATTTTTTGCCACAAACTTTAATTTTCAAATCCCTTTTTCAAACTAATGGTGTAAAAATGAATTAGAATCCATAGTTTGAAATATCTCAGGTTTACTACATTAGGGTGTAAAGATATAGGGATTATTAAATCAGAGTTTGTGACTATAAAGACTCAACTCCTGTTTTTAAAAAGTAAATAAAAAGTTTAAAATCTGGGATTTTCAAGGAAGTTTGTGTTTTTTGTTGTGAATATCCTAGTATTTCTTTTGTGAATATTCTAGTATTTCTTTTGTGAATATCCTAGTATTTCTTTTGTNAGTATTTCTTTTGTGAATATCCTAGTATTTCTTTTGTGAATATCCTAGTATTTCTTTTGTGAATATCCTAGTATTTCTTTTGTGAATATCCTAGTATTTATTTGTTCAAACATTCTCTTAAAGGCACTGCACGGCGTAATCTCACGTGACTCTCCACTGATGTCTGGGCATGTCCGATTCACACGTACATGCCTTTGTCTGATAAGAATAACTTAGATAATTCTAAGATATCCAGGTTTTTGCTTTTGCAAATTTTTATTTTTGTTTGTAGTTTCCCTACAAAAGTGACTTCATTTCTTTCTTTAGAAACAGTTGAAAATTCTCAGAATTAAATACTTTTCAATTATCTTCCTTATTATTGATGATTATGGTTTCAAGGGTACCATTGTGAATCCAGCATACACCTCTTTCAATAGAAGGCGACTTAGAATCACGACGACTGTCCCTTTAGTTTGTAAACACAAAACATATAAATAATATGTGTAGGAACACTGTAGGAAATCCTAACATTGTGTTTGATACTATCAAATAACCAAAGACGATTTAACCTATATCGAGCAATCTGATCCGGCTGCACAATTTTCAAATCAATATTTTATCACAATTTTATCTCTGAAGCTTTTGCATTGCTTTTCTTTATCCCGACCTAGAAGGACTGTAGAAATAGTTTCAACTAAACCTGTAGCAAATATAGAGGCCCATAGTAAATTACGTTGTATATTGTTCATATAGCTAAATGTGCCAATTAGTAAATATGTAAATCAAGTATTGCAATTAACCCATTCAATGTACGTAGATACATATAACTCCGTCATACCCATATTGTGATTGCTTAACTACTTTATATATAACAGCGCATAAGTTGTAATTACACTGTTAGAGACCCAATTCTAATCTAAACTGAAGACATATACCTTATTTGCTATAGAAACTTCATACTGCTTACTCCGAGAGAGTAATCATTCCCTGTTTTTATAAACAGGTTCATGATTGTGCCCTTTGATTTGACATAGATAGTTACGAGCTTCCGATTGATATTGATAGCAAACGAGATCGCTCCCACTGGTAGTGTTGTTGATAGATCTTTGTTCCTATTTGTGTGGTTCCCTGTTTTTCATAAACAGGAAGAGGATCGTGCCCTTATATATGGCATTGATAGTTACGAGCTTCAATGGCTAACAAGATCGTGCTCTGTGGTAGTGGCGTTGATAGATCACGGATTGTTTGCATGTGGTTGACATTGATAGTCAAGAGAATCTGAATTGTACCTGGACCGATACGTTTCCAAAAACTGTTATGGAGTAGGCATTTACTACAAACCTGTATGTAGATCTTTGTGTGTTAACTAATCTTAATAATTAAAGGCAGGATCACCTTTACAAAATGAACCTTCAGAGACGACTTTGTAGAATATATACTCTCTGTTTCCACATATTTATGATTCCCTGCAACTATATATACTTTTTTCTCTCACATTCAAAGCATGAAATAAGCCATAAACAGACCAGACCAGATTCAACGCAGAAGACTAAATTTAAACCTGTAATCGTCATATTTGAAGAGTTTCAATCTTTAAGTCGCATTTCACAGAAATCTACACAACTCTGAAATTTAGTCATCAAATTTTAGAAAGCCTCGACTTTAAACTGCGCAACGCCATGGCCTTTAGTTATACCTCACAAACTCACTTATATTTTTTTGTAGGCCTAGACATATGCATTTAAAAAAGCAATTAACACTGTATTATAAATTATAATGTATCAAATAATAAAATGATTTTTAGGGTTGTCTGTACTATTTCAACACATCAATGCACAGGCAGAGATAGAGGTATATACAGGGAGATCTAAAAAACTCTGGAATTGGAAGACGACATTTTAGAAATAGTTGGAAATAGGCGCGATCGGTTTATTTCTCAAATTGGTCCTTCATCCTTTGATAACGATCCATTTCTTTGCTTTTTTAAGACATTCATAAAAAATTAAATTCGTTCAACTAAATCGTTTGTTTAGTAAAATCGTTTGTTTGCAGTAAAATAGCTCGTTCAATACATATTTTGTTCACAAGATGCAAATGGTCGTTAAATTGTCCATTTTTTTCGTTTGTTTTTAAAGATTGGTAGTTTCTTAATTTCGCTAAACGATCTATTTTGTTTGTTCATCATTTGTTTCTGAACAACACCATTCTTAAAGAAAATTTTCTTTGTTTTGAAATATTTCTATGTTCCTGGGTTTCACAGTCGTTTTCATATTCCACGGTATTATGGGTCTCACTGTAGTAATCGTAAAAATTATAAATGATACTTTTTGATTATCAAAATAAATCTTGAAGATATTTCATGGTAAGTTGCCTTTAAAAATCAACCACGTTTTTTAAAATTTGTTAACCCATTCCTTGATAATGTTACTCCTGTTCAAAAGCTGTGGTAAAAAAAGCAAGATTTAAAAGTAAAATTATTAAAAAAAAGTCTAATTTAATTATACGTAAATTTAAGTGACCCTCCATTTATGAGTGACCTGTCTAATACGATACTATTTAAACCATTGTCCGATCAAGAAATTAAAACTCCAATCGTTATAATGATAGTATGTGATATGTCCAGGGGTTGTTAGGCAACTGTTTGAACAGTGGAGATGAACTTGACACGTGTTTAGCCCAGCTGGCTGAAGAGCTGAGACCGTACATGAGTACCGGCCTGCCCGACTACAACCTACCCAAGACAGAGCCTATGTTCCTAGACAACGTAGTTATCAAACTTTCAAAACTTCCGATAGATGTCACTGCTATCTTTACAGATTCTACGGTTAATGGACTCTCAGGGTTCAAATTGAATTCTATTCATGCAGATACTAGCTCCCAGAGTATTCTACTCAAGATGACAATTCCTTTGTTGTCTGCAGCTGGAGATTACAGTATGACCGGTAACGCTATTGTCACCATTGATGATTCCAATGGACCATATCAGGTAAAAATTTAATTTTCGTTGCAACCTGATGGTGTAAACCTTTGTATTTTTAAGTTTACCATTTAAGTTAAAAGGTTTAGATAAAATTAGAGATTATTCATAGCTTATCAATAAATCTACGCATGAAAAGTTAAATCAATATCAGCGATTTAGATATTTACAAGTGTCAAGTGCAAACTAATAAACAGTAAAATTAATTCCAGCCTTCCAATCTCCATTTTGTTAATTGCTTTGCGTTTGTTGTGTTTAAAAACTTTTACATTTCGGTGGAATTTGTCAAAAATGTCCAGAATTGCAGAATTTAAAAATTACGATTATTTAGTATTGCTTTTTAAATTTAAATTTAAAATAAAATTACTATCTTACTTATGTTGAGCGACATAAAAAAGACCCGAATAAAGAATCCCTGTTATCCCCCCCCCCCCCAATTTTATTTTTATAAAATAAATATTTAGGTTGTTATGGAAAATGTCGAAGTTGAAATCCTATCCACCCTCACCCAGGAGAATGGTGTTCTTCTAATCAAGGAAGACCCTCTGATAACTGTCGATGTCGGAAAACTAAACGTAAATTTTGAAAATCTTTTTGGCGGGAAAACTCCCGAGTTTGCCAAGGTCATCCATCAGTTTGTAAACAATGACTCCAAAGCATTTACAAAGGATTTTGGACCTCAGATTACGCAGCAGGTATTTTTTTATTTGTAAAACTATAAAAATCTTTCAATTTTTTAGAATTCACAAATGTAGAAAGTTTGATCAACTCTCCCGTCCTCTTTCTTTTTTCTTTTAGTTATGAAATTTCTCTTAACATTTTTTAATTCTCAAACAACTTTTATAAAAGGCCCATAAACATTTTAGACATATGCATTGCAACAATTGCAAATTAATAATTAATTAATAGCAACATTTGTTTAGTTAAATTAGGAAAAAAACGACATCAATTCCACAATTTGCGGAAAAATATCAAAATAGAAAATTATTTTTATCTTCAAGCACACCTCTCTGCTTGTCTTGGGTTCCTTTAAATTACAAAAATAAATAAAAACAAGAATAAAATGAAATTTTGTTTTTTATAGGTTGGAAGTCTGATCAAAGGGTTCTACAATGGTGCTGTAACTGGAATAGATCCAGCCCTTTTTGGTGTCAATTAAACCAGCTTTAATGAAACTAAAATAATATTGAAAAAAAAAAACATATTTATCGAAAGCATTCAAATCTGACAATAAAAAGTTGCTGAATAGATTAACTATTGTTAAAATGTTTTTTGTTTGTTATTTATCAAAAGGACATTAAACTATTTAACATTTTATTTTATTGTTTTATAGTTTGATTTGTTGTTATTTAGAACTATAAATTGCATCAGTTAATAAATAAATTATAAAGTAAACAAATGTTTTTTTATTTTTATTAAAAAAAAATTCTTTTTAAATGAATCCCAAAAATATCCGAGAGTTTTTGATAAATAAGAAAATGACGTTTTTAAAGTTTAATTTCTGGCAGGTTTTCTCAAAATTCAGAAAATTCATAAAAACAATAACTTACTGACAATATTAGAGACTAGCTTGGGAACCCAGCGCTGCAAAGGTTACTATAAGTTACTCCCGCCGTTTACCCGCACTTGAACGATTTTACCGGGAAACTAAATTTTCGCTATTAAAGTCAACCCACTCGACTTTGAATCTCAAAACCAAGCTAAGAACATTCCCGTGGTTCTCCCTAGTTCCTCAATTAAATTTAAGTTAAGTTCGGAAAAACGAACAGACAAACAGATAGACAGATAAATGTATCGGCCAAAGACGACCTCCTTCTTTTATTTGAGGAACTAAGATTATATATGTATGTACACTGTACATTGTACTGTAACCATATATTCTATCTCAGTATGTGTATTCTATCTCAATACGTGTATTTATCTTAATACATATGTATCTTCTATCTCAATATGTGTATTCTATCTCAAAATGTGTCTTTATCTTAATACATGTATTCTATCTCAATACTGTAACAGTGGGCGAGTTTTGTTGATCTTTTACGATCAGCAATTCAAGGATTTTTTGGATCGCTGAGATCATAGCT